ATTTTTAGCAAAGTTTCAGGATTTTAGGAAAAAACGGCATTTTTTGCAGTATATATAAATATGTCAAATTTTAAATTCATTGTTGACTTTTTCATTAAAATTGGTACAAATAATCTTCATACGTAATCAAACCTAATGCCATTTTAAAAAAGAGGGGTCCATGTGCTAGTTATTAAGTTAAATCAGTTTAAATCATAAAAAACGGTCGAAAAATGCATCTTTTCCCGATATGTCACAGTTTGATGTTGCGAAAATAACATTTTATGTTAGCAACGTCATTACCTCCTCTGTAACTGTATTGTATGCCCTTTAGTCAAAGTTTTCTAGCAAAATTAGTATTGAATTTAAAGAAAACTGAAAAGGGTTCATTCATTCAGGAAAATTGACAAATAAGGCCATGTTTTCTGACACCATATGGACAGGTTTTAACTTTTTTTATGACATAGCAGGACCTAGATATATAAGATAAAAATGCATTTTGTGTTTCAACCGACCATGCAAGACCCTCATGGGTAGTCAAGGTCGTTAAAAAAAACCTCGACGTCGTGTTTCAGAACTTTTTTTTTTTTTTTTTCTGTTTTTTTCTGTGGATATTTGCATTCCTTCTGAACCTGCAGAAGGTGTGAAAATAAATAAACTTACGTTGGGAAAAATGTTTCAGATATGAAAATAAAAAGATGCGGCATGATTGCCAATGGTAATGAGACACTTCTCCACCAGAATCCAAATGACGCAGAAGTCAACAACTAGATTGATTGATTGATTGTTGGTTGCTTAACGTCCAGTGGCAAATATTTCATGCATATTCAGGACGATCAACAACTAGAGATCACTGTACTGTTATATTTATCTTTTTAATACTGGTTAATGAAATCATAACAGTGTTAAATGGCTGGTAATTATCACGTATGCGATTTTGACACGCCTACATAGCTGATGAATATTCATGATTTTATAGATAAGAACAGCACTTGTAGCCTAAAACTGGGAGTTGAGTTAGAGATCTGAGGCATCCATGTAGATATGTAGCTGATGAAATATATAATTCGAACGGAAATATAGTTATGCCCCCGCCATAGCGGTGGGGGCAATAAGTTTTACCCATGTCTGTTTGTATGTACATACGTCCCAAAATTGGTTTCCATTCTCTTAACTTGAGTTTGCCTCAACCAAATGTTATGAAACTTATATATAATGCTTATTACCACAAAACACAGATCAAGTTTGAATTTTGGTGGCGTCACTTTAACCGTTCTAGAGTTATGCCCCTTTATAAATGGAAAAATTGCAAAAATTTTCGTTTCCGTTCTCTAACTTAAGTTTGCCTCATCCAAATGTTATGAAACTTATACACAATGCTTATTACCACAAAACACAGATCAAGTTTGAATTTTGGTGGTGTCACTTTAACCATTCTAGAGTTATGCCCTTTATAAATGGAAAAATTGCAAAATTTTTATTTTCTTCTAAATATCAAGTAATTTTTATACGACCGCAAAAAAAATTTTGTGGTCTTATAATGGTATGACGTTGGCGTCGTCGTCGCCGTCGTCCAAAGACACATTGGTTTTCGCACTCTAACTTAAGTTTAAGTGAATGGATCTCTATGAAATTTTACCATAAGGTTCAATACCACAAAAGGAAGGTTGGGATTGATTTTGAGGGTTATGGTAGCAACAGTTAAGGAATTAGGGGCCCAAAAGGGGCCAAAAATAAGCATTTTTGTAACTTCCAGACATGACTTGTGTGTTAGTGTATGGATCTCTCTGACATTGTACCACAAGGTTCCATATCACAAAGGGAATGCTGGGATTGATTTTGGGGGTAATTGCCTCAAAACTTTAGGAATTAGGGGCAAAAAAAGGGGCAAAAAACAAGTATTTTTCTAGTTTCATGACAATAACTTGTGTGTAAGTGTATGGATCTTTCTGAAATTTTACTACAAGGTTCCATATCACAAAGGGAAAGCTGGAATTGAGTTTGGGGGTAATGCCCAAAACGTTTAGGAAAAAAGGGCCAAAAAGGGGCCAAAAATAAGCATTTTTCTAGTTTCCAGACAATAACTTGTGTTCAAGTGTATGGATCTCTCTGAAATTGTACTGCAAAGTACCATACCACAAAGGGAAGGCTGGGATTGATTTTGGGGGTAATTGCCTCAAAATTTTAGGAATTAGGGGCCAAAAAGGGGAAAAAAACAAGCATTTTTCTAGTTTCAGGACAAGAACTTGTGTGTAAGTGTATGGATCTTAATGAAATTGTACTACAAGGTTCCATATCACAAAGGGAAAGCTGGGTTTGAGTTTGGGGGTAATTGCCCTAAAAGTTTAGGAATTTGGGGCCAAAAAGGGGCCTACAAACAAGCATTTTTCTAGTTTCCAGACAATAACTTGTGTTCAAGTGTATGGATATCTCTGAAATTGTACTGCAAGGTACCATACCACAAAGGGAAGGCTGGGATTGAGTTTGGGGGTGATGAATCATAAGGGGGTTCAAAAAATTGGGGGGGGGGGTATTTTTTTTTCCTTAAAATTTTCCATTTTAAATTGGTTATTTCTGATTTATATATAAAAGCAAATAATAATGATATGGTTTGAATAGGTAAATTAAAATTTTTTAAGTTCTTAGACCACATTCATTCTGTGTCAGAAACCTATGCTGTGTCAAATATTTAATCACAATCCAAATTCAGTGCTGTATCAAGCTTGAATGTTGTGTCCATACTTGCCCCAACTGTTCAGGGTTTGACCTCTGCGGTCGTATCAAGCTGCGCCCAGCGGAGCATTTTATTAAAATTGGAGTTATCTTCCTTTGTCCATGATTATAGTTGAATCAACCACAATCAATGCTTTATACAATGCAATGTTTAATTTTGACTTCCACTGTTAAAACACAGATCAAGTTGAATTTGGGTAGTGTCACTTTAACCATTTTTGAGTTATGCCCCTTTATAAATTGAAAGATTGCAAAATTTTTAGTTTCCATTCTGTAACTTAAGTTTGCCCCAACCAAACATTATGAAACCTATACACAATATTTATTACCACAAAACTAAGATCAAGTTCAAATTTTTTGTTTCCGTTTTCTAACTTTAGTTTGCCTCAACCAAATGTTATGAAACTTATACACAATAAAATTGAGAATGGAAATGGGGAATGTGTCAAAGAGACAACAACCCGACCATAGAGCAGACAACAGCCGAAGGCCACCAATGGGTCTTCAATGCAGTGAGAAACTCCCGCACCCGGAGGCATCCTTCAGCTGGCCCCTAAACAAATACAAATAAGTATACTAGTTCAGTGATAATGGACGTCGTACTAAACAATGCTTATTACTACATAATACAGATTAAGTACGAAATTTGGTGGCGACACTTTAACATTCTTGAGTAATGTCCCTTTATAAACATGAAAATTGCTGAATTTTTCGTTTCCGTTATAAAACTTATACACAACCATTCTAGAGTTATGCGTGTTTACAAATAGAAAAATTGCTGAATTTTTAGTTTCTGTTCTCTACTTAAGTTAGCCTCAACCAAATGTTATGAGACTTACACACAATGCTTATTACCACAAAACTCAGATCAAGTTCAAATTTGGGTAGCATCACTTTTACCATTCTTCAGTTATGTCACTTTATAACTATATGATATGCAAGCGGGGGCATCATCTGTGTCCACGTATCCACATTTATTTTTAATATAACATGCCAAGCGAGTAAAAACACGGATCTACCAGTACGGCCTTCAGCTAGATGTTCCCTTCATGTAATAATTGTTGTGAACTGTATTGATTGATATGGACAAAAGAAATCTGGACAATAATCAAGGATTTGTATTTGATTTGATTTTGTCACTATACAAATCCTTGTAATAATACATGATTTAAACTGTGTTACTGAGTGGACCGTATTGCATGAAATTCAGGTGTTTGTTTATTTTACTTTCTGCAAGCTTGAATTTTTTTTTATTCAATTTCTAAATCAAATTTTTTTAATTTTTCTGAAACACACAATTCATATAACTTATATTATTATGTCAATCATAACATAGGTAGTGCCATAGCTTAAAACTTTTCCAGGTGCTCAGGTTTGTCTATACTCAAAGTATTTTTATTTATGTTTAAACATGCTATATTTGTCAATACCCTCTGATGTGATGTACATGTATGTATCTACTGACAATAAAATAGTTTAGGCAAAAAAAAAAAATATAATTATTTTCCTCCTCCCTACCTATTCTACATTTTCATGCCTACCCTTCTTACTTTAACTCATTTTATGGGATTTTTGGTTAAGCATTGTTAAAGTTCAGAATATTTTCATTTTCCATATAGTCTATGTCATGTATGTAAACTATAAAAAAAAAATTTTTTTTTACCTACTTACATACCCTTTTTATTTCTGGGAAACAGGTAACAAGTATATATTTTTTTGTATGCAAAATCTTATGTGTCAAAACCCATTCAGTCCAGAATTCTGGCATTATTTAAAACCACAGCCATCTATTTGTCTCTCTGTACAGAGGCCTTGTAAAAGTTTGCTCCCATAAGGCTTTGAAACTTTACTCAAATATTATATGCTTAATTTTAGGCAACAATAGTTTACTGATGTTCAAATCTCTAATTGAATAAGAAGATACAAATCAAGGTATCAAACTTTAACTGATTGAATCACATGAACCCCATATGGAGCAAGGCCAAGTGTGTGGACAGAGTATCTCCTGCTATATATGCGTCACCCATCATGCAAATCCATGTTCAGTCAAATGTCTCAATCTGAAATAGGACATAATCATGTAAATTAGCCTGTATAGACATTTTCTTTCAATTGAAATGATAGCTGTCAATCAATGCAATCAGGTAGCAAACATGGGAATTTTTTTTATTTTTAGTAAGAAATGCTTATAAACAGTTACCATCTTAAAATGTAAAATAGAATTGGATGGTTCTAAACTTATATCACATTCTAAAGAGAAGATAAATTTCAAGTGTATTTTGTTTTAGTATGTTGCTGTTAAGGGAGATCCAATCATAGGGATAGTTACAGCTAAGGCAGGAGATGTGTTTCGATTGGATATTGGTAGCAGTGACTTGGCAACTCTGTCGTACTTGGCATTTGAAGGAGCAACCAAAAGGAACAGACCTGACGTGAAGGTAATGTTGGGTGCCATATTGATCAAAGAAATATCGGAGAATTATTTAAGTTCATCTCAAAGAAGTAATCCAAATTTGAAAATTACCTAACATGATCTTAGATTTGCCAAAATATACTTAAGGAATCTGATTACAGTAGTTGTCGTCTGTTTATGTAGTTCATACGTGTTTCTCATTTCTCGTTTTTATATAGATTAGACTGTTGGTTTTTCCGTTTGAATGGTTTTACACTAGTAATTTTTTGGGGCCCTTTATAGCTCGCTGTTCGGTGTGAGCCAATGCTCGTCTGTTTATGTAGTTCATACGTGTTTCTCGTTTCTTGTTTTTATATGGATTAGACCGTTGGTTTTTCCGTTTGAATGGTTTTACACTAGTAATTTTTTGGGGCCCTTTATAGCTCGCTGTTCGGTGTGAGCCAATGCTCCGTGTTGAAGGCCGTACCTTGACCTATAATGGTTTACTTTTATAAATTGTAACTTGGATGGAGAGTAGTCTCATTGGCACTCATACCACATCTTCCTATATCTATTAAGGTAAAAGCTGTTAAAAAAAAATTACAATGGCAAAAAACCATGACAAAACTTTAATACATGTATTTGTCTTTTGTTGTGTCAAGTTTACATTTTGATTAGAAACTTGTGTACAAACTCAAGAAACATTATATTTCTTGTCACTAGCTATAAGAAAACTTTCTACAATTATTGTGTTGTTTCCTGGGTGTTAAAAATTTCCTTAAAGGAATTATGTATGAGAAACTGCATAAAATTTGTATTTTTCTTGAAATAGGTTCGTCCCATAAAAGGTGTCATAACATTGAACATTTGGTTTTTTTCCCGGATACCAAGTACTTTGAGCACTGCAATACCAAACATAACACCCCAATACAATTTTAACATAAAAAATAAGAAACCCTGTGCATCATTATTTACTACATGACCTTACTTATGAAATACTGTTAACACATTGTTAATTTGAAGGATGAAATTTAATGACAGCTATGTTAATTTTTTTAAATTTATCAAAGTGTTTGGAGGTGATTCTTTCGATCAAATACCTTTCGAGAAATAAAAAAAAATGGGATTCCTGGATTTTTTACTTAATGTTTAAAAAAAAACCTGTAAAGAAGTTGTTGATTTGCATTCAAATCCAATTCTTAAATTATCTACAATTCCAGATTCTTTGATTCATGAATGAGAATAGATGTGTAACTGACAGTATAACCATGACTATTTTGAGATGTATAGGTCTTGATGAATACTATTTTGACTGTATATATACATGTATGTGGTAATTTGTTTAAGGTTGGTGATATTGTATATGCTAAATGTATGGTGGCTAATAAAGACATGGAACCAGAACTAGTGTGTATAGACAGTAATGGACGTAGTGGTGGACTTGGTGTCATTGGTAGAGAGGGAGGATTTATGTTCCAAACATCATTAAATTTGATAAGAAAGTAAGACTTCAAGGGGAGATAATCAGTATTTAAATTTCTAAATGAAACTTGATTGACAGATGGGTGCTTATTACATGTACAATAACAGCAAATATAACATGCATATTCAGGGTGAAATGTAAATTGTCTGATCTTTAGTTCCCCAATATGAAAGTTAGTTGCAGTTCCTTTAAATACTAATAAAAATTTTAAAAATATATGACAGCTAAAAATTCCTTATACTGTACATACTTCTTTTAACACTGACTTTTTCTTAAAAAAAACCCACAAATTCTAAATTAACTATGAATATTCATGTAAAAGTGTTTTTATTACCTATTTTTATTCTATTTTCAGACTTTTAAGTTCAGACTGTGTTTTACTCAAGACACTTGGTAATGGCATGCATTATGAAGTTGCAATAGGAATGAATGGTCGAGTTTGGGTCAAAGCCAAATCTGTGTCACATACAATTGCTTTGTGTAATGCTATAAGTGCTGCAGAATACATGTCAAATGAACAAATCAAAGCTATGTGTAAAAAACTGACTAATGCTTTAGCAGGGTTTTGAAACAGGCTGGAGAAATAGGAATTGACATCAGCATCATGCATGATAAGTTCAATGGCCTTTGAAAAGGCCATGGCCAATATATCAGTTAGTATAGCAATACCGGTATGTCTAACTGCGATTGTACCTTTAATGAATTGCACATCAGTAAAAGGATAAAAGCATCCTTGATAGCAGTTTTAACATGGGACTTGATTTGTAAAAACAACGATTTTTATGTTTTACTTTTTGTTGATGAAAACAACACCAGACAGTATGTTATTGTGTATTTATTGTTAACTATTAAAATTAAATATCATTCGTTGTATTTTAGCCGACTCTTTAGAAAGGATCCCAATTTTTACAGCTGTGTATATGTACAAATATCATTTAACAAGTTACTCAGCAGTTTGCTTGTTTACTTATGCTCAAGAAAAAATGTAAAATTTGATTTCTTTTTAGCCCAATTTTAAAAACGAATGGTCTTATTATGTGGAGGATGAACAAATGGCAAACAACACATCTATGCAAAGATACATGTATTGGCAGTTATCCCCAGTTTTTTTTTTGCTTTTTTTTAAATAATAATGTTAATGAACCATGATCATACATGTATCTATAATAAAAGAGGGCCTCGGTGGACGAACTACTGTATCGCTAGCATGTCAACATTGAGGTTGTGAGTTCTAATCCCACACACTCAACTCCAATCTTATTGGACTAGGATTGTCAGTTTTCCTGCCGATGTTAGGTGATTCACTCTGGGGACTCTGGCTTCCTCCACCAATAAAAACTGACCGCCACGGAATAGCACAATAGTGCTGAAAGTGGTGTTAAACACCAAGCAATCAATCAATATAATTGAAGACTGGCTTACATGGAGGTTTGTGAAATTTTAAAGTGTTAGAAAAATATGATTTCGACTTGTCACATACATCGTCAATCATATGTTATAGGGATTAAACATCATGTGTTGATTTTATGATTTCGACTTGTCACATACATTGTCAATCATTAGTTATAGGGATTAAACGTGTTGATTTTATGATTGAGACTTGTCACATACATCGTCAATCATTAGTTATAGGGATCAAGCAAGTGTTGATTTTATGATTTAGACTTGTCACATACATTGTCAATCATTAGTTATAGGGATTAAACATCATGTGTTGATTTTATGATTGAGACTTGTCACATACATTGTCAATCATTAGTTATAGGGATAGCATGTGTTGATTTTATGATTGAGACTTGTCACATACATCGTTAATCATTAGTTATAGGGATTAAACATCATGTGTTGATTTTATGATGTAGTTATCATCAACACCATATATTTAGCTTTCTATTTCTAAAAGTTTAGAAAAGCTATTTATGGTAAATCATTAATATTTTGATATACAGCTGGATAAGTATCCATGCATACTCTTACTCATGCTCTAATGGCATTGTACCGCCTCAATGGGTTCGTACTTACCTAGAGTGCAAGAGGTTGTGGGTTCACCGGGTCAAACAAAAAACTTGAAAATTGGAATTTGCTGCTTCTCTACTAAGCATAGAGCATTTAGGAGTAAGAGCATAGACTAGCCTGCTCAGAGTCAAAATTATGTCTCAATGTAGGTTGACATGTCTTCCTGCAGACTTACCTTGTGAACTAGCAAAAAACGTTAAAAATCCGGCTCAGGGTGTATGTCGAGTACAAAGCAAGGTTTATATTCCATATCACATAATCATGTTCTCGTCCTTAATTTGCCACTGGACGCTAAGCAGTCATCCAATAGCATTGTTCGATTGCTAGGTTTTCTGATTCGGTGGTATTATGAGTAATTACTGTCGACCATTGATGTATGTTATGCATCACTGTTAGTTTCTAGACTTCATTGTTTTGAAGTGACACAGAACTTAAGGCCTTACCCCATCACAGATACTTCAGTGACTGGATTTTATATCTTTCAAATTGTTTCCCAATTATTTTGAGACAGACCACTGATTTAGTTAATACTATTAGCATCTGAAGATTAATGTGAGACTTAATTCTAGATAATTTTAGGTGATTACATTGTTTAGTGCTATGTTAGTTACTAGTATTAGATCAGGTAGTTTAAGAAATTACATCTCCAATATCCATGCAATATTAAGGCATTCAATCAAATCAATGTTTTTATTTTACTGCAAACAAATGAGACATACCTCTGTGTTTACCTGATAACATCATGTTGAGATGTGATACGAGAGCTCCATATTTAATATGCTGTTGCATGATCAAAATCCAAATTTTAATTCTAGAGATTTCACAAGGCTATGAAGAAATGTCTTAACCTTTTCAATGAAAATTTATATCTCCTTCCAAAAACAGAACAATACACAGAAAACTATATATAAAACAACACCAACCCTACAAAAACTTGGGTCAAACATGTGGTCTGGATGGTAAGAAGTTCCTGCTCTGAAAGCAACACCAATCATTTAACTCCTGTCAATTCTTGAGTAACATCAGGTAATAAGGCATTAATGGATGACAAAATGTCTGGTCTAACCCTAAGACATTACCATTGTTATTTTTATACGACTGCAAAAATTTTTGAGGTCGTATATTGGTATGACGTTGGCGTCGTCGTCGTCGTCCGGCGTCGTCCGAAGACACATTGGTTTTCGCACTCTAACTTTAGTTTAAGTGAATGGATCTCTATGAAATTTTACCATAAGGTTCAATACCACAAAAGGAAGGCTGGGATTGATTTTGGGGGTTATGGTACCAACAGTTAAGGAATTAGGGGCCAAAAATAAGCATTTTTGTAACTTCCAGACATAACTTGTGTGTTAGTGTATGGATCTCTCTGACATTGTACCAAAAGGTTCCATATCACAAAGGGAATGCTGGGATTGATTTTGGGGGTAATTGCCTCAAAATATTAGGAATTAGGGGCCAAAAAAGGGGCAAAAAACAAGCATTTTTCTAGTTTCATGACAATAACTTGAGTGTAAGTGTATGGATCTTTCTAAAATTGTACTACAAGGTTCCATATCAAAAAGGGAAAGCTGTCATTGAGTTTGGGGGTAATTGCCCAAAACGTTGAGGAATAAGGGGCCAAAAATAAGCATTTTTTCTAGTTTCCAGACAATAACTTGTGTTCAAGTGTATGGATCTCTCTGAAATATTACCACAAGGTTCCATATCACACAGGGAATGCTTGGATTGATTTTGGGGGTAATTGCCTCAAAATTTTAGGAATTAGGGGCCAAAAAAGGGGCAAAAAACAAGCATTTTTCTTGTTTCATGACAATAACTTGTGTGTTAGTGTTTGGATATTTCTGAAATTGTACTACAAGGTTCCATATCACAAAGGGAAAACTGGAATTGAATTTGGGGGTAATTGCCCTAAACGTTTAGGAATTGGGGGCCAAAAAGGGGCCAAAAAACACATTTTTCTAGTTTCCAGACAATAACTTGTGTTCAAGTGTATGGATCTCTCTGAAATTGTACTGCAAGGTACCATACCACAAAGGGAAGGCTGGGATTGAGTTTGGGGGTGATGAATCATAAGGGGGTTCAAAAAATTTTGGGGGGGGATTTTTTTTTTTTTCCCTTTTTTTTCTTTTTTTCCTTTTTTCATACGACCGCAAAAAAATTTTGTGGTCGTATATTGGTATGTTGTTGGCGTCGTCGTCGTCGTCATCTGGCGTCGTCCGAAGACACATTGGTTTTCACACTCTAACTTTAGTTTAAGTGAATGGATCTCTATGATATTTTACCACAAGGTTCAATACCACAAAAGGAAGGTTGGGATTGATTTTGGGGGTTATGGTACCAACAGTAAAGGAATTAGGGGCCAAAAATAAGCATTTTTGTAACTTCCAGACATAATTTGTGTGTAAGTGTATGGATCTCTCTGACATTGTACCACAAGGTTCCATATCACAAAAGGAATGCTGGGATTGATTTTGGGGGTAATTGCCTCCAAATTTTAGGAATTAGGGGCCAAAAAAGGGGCAAAAAACAAGCATTTTCTAGTTTCATGACAATAACTTGTGTGTAAGTGTATGGATCTTTCTGAAATTTTACTCAAGGTTCCATATCACAAAGGGAAAGCTAGAATTGAGTTTGGGGGTAATTGCCGAAACGTTTAGGAATTGGGGGCCAAAAAGGGGCCAAAAATAAGCATTTTTCTAGTTTCCAGACAATTACTTGTGTTCAAGTGTATGGATCTCTCTGAAATTGTACTGCAAGGTACCATACCACAAAGGGAAGGCTGGGATTGATGATGGAGGTAATTGCCTCAATATTTTAGGAATTAGGGGCAAAAAAGGGGCAAAAAAAAAGCATGTTTCTAGTTTCAGGACAATAACTTGTGTGTAAGTATATGGATCTTTCTGAAATTGTACTACAAGGTTCCATACCACAAAGGGAAAGCTGGGTTTGAGTTTAGGGGTAATTGCCCTAAATGTTTAGGAATTTGGGGCCAAAAAGGGGCCAAAAAACACATTTTGCTAGTTTCCAGACAATAACTTGTGTTCAAGTGTATGGACCTCTCTGAAATTGTACTGCAAGGTACCATACAACAAAGGGAAGGCAGGGATTGAGTTTGGGGCTGATGAATCATAAGGGGGTTCAAAAAATTTGGGGGGGGGATTTTTTTTTTCTTCATTTTTTTTCTTTTTTTCCTTTTTTTTTCTTTTAAAATTTTCCATTTTAAGTTGGTTATTTCTTATTTATATTTAAAAGCAAATAATAATGATATGGTAGGAGATACACACCAAACAGGATGTGTAAATTATTATATAATAAGTATTGTGCAATAGCAAGAAATTTTCAATTGCACAGTATTGCACAATAGCAAGAAATCTTCAATTGCACAGTATTGCGCAATAGCAAGAAATCTTCAATTGCACAGTATTGCGCAATAGCAAGAAATATCCAATAGCACAATATTGCGCAATAGCAAGAAATTGTCAATTGTGCAGTATTGCGCAATAGCAGGAAATATTCAATTGCACAGTATTGTGCAAAAGAAGATACTTCGTATAAATTGCTTATTTCTTGACCAATTTCAATGGGGTTTTATTCTTGAATTCTTGGGGTTCTTTAATATGCTGAATCTAACCGTGTATTAAGTTTTTGGATTTTGGGCCCTGTTTTTAAATTGGTCCACATTGGGGTCCAAAGGGTCCAAAATTAAACTTTGTTTGATTTCATCAAAAATTGAATTATTGGGGTTCTTTGATATGCCGAATCTAACCGTGTATTTAGATTCTTAATTTTTGGTTCCGTTTTCAAATTGGTCTACATTAAGGTCCAAAGGGTCCAAAATTAAACTAAGTTTGATTTTAACAAAAATTGAATTCTTATGGTTCTTTGATATTCTGAATCTAAACATGTATTTAGATTTTTGATTATGGGCCCAGTTTTCAAGTTGGTCCAAATCGGGGTCCAAAATTAAACTTTGTTTGATTTCAACAAAAATTGAATATATGGGGTTCTTTGATATGCTGAATCTAACCATGTATTTAGATTTTTGATTTTTGGGCCCGTTATCAACTTTGTCCACATTGAGGTCAAAAGGGTCCAAAATTAAACTTTGTTTGATTTCATCAAAAATTGAATTCTTGGGGTTCTTTGATATGCTGAATCTAACCATGTAATTAGATTTTGGATATTGGACCATAATAGGTGAATGTCCAATTTAAAATTTTTAAGTTCTTAGACCACATTCATTCTGTGTCAGAAACCTATGCTGTGTCAAATATTTAATCACAATCCAAATTCAGAGCTGTATCAAGCTTGAATGTTGTGTCCATACTTGCCCCAATTGTTCAGGGTTCGACCTCTGCGGTCGTATCAAGCTGCGCCCTGCGGAGCATTTTATTCATTTCTGTTGAACAAAATTTGTTGGGGATATCAATATGATAGTTTTGCAGGAAGATTTAGAGCTTCGCATATTGTCTCCCATGTTGACCTCTAATTGTATTTTTTTTTCAGTTGTTAGGTTGCTGACTTACCCATATCTCCTTTTATTCATATTGCTGAATTGTGCTTAAAGTTAGTTTGTCTACCTTTATTTCAAATTGATTTATTACAATTACATATGTATTGTTTTAATTGATCAGTTAGAAGAGATGATTTCAAACTGTAACCTGGATAGACATTTTGGTCATTTGGTTGTGTGAAAAGACGCATTTTGAATATGCACAGTAACAACTTTTATTTGTTACATTTTATTCAATCTATTAATCTATAAGACTGTTTATAATTGTATTTTTGTGTCAATTTACACAATACCCAATACACCCCTTTTTTGCATAAAAACAATATTTTGTTGTATCTAAAAATGGAAAAAACATTAAGAATAAAAACATTTTATTTACACAAAGTAATAAAATTAAGCATTTTTTAAATGCACACAAAAATCAATACTACATAAATTATAGAAATACTCATGACTTCACAAGCATTACTAATCTTAAGGGAAAATGTTACCCGTTCATGTTAAAATAGTTGTGAATATTCTCAGAATCTCTATAACAGTCAACAGAAAAATTTTAATACATCAAAAGTTTTAATAAATCATATATATATATATATTTATATGCATCCAAAATTTAAAAAAACTGTCAGATTGTTAACAAAAAAATGATATTTATTTTGCAAAGTAATCACAGCGACCTAAATAATTTATAAATATAAAGATTTAACTTTTCCGTCATACATTAAAACTTTCCCCACATCCACATGTTCCTTTTATATTTGGATTATTAAATATAAATTCAGAAGCTAATTTGTTTTCAACATAGTCCATTTCTGTTCCTAACAATGATAGCTGAGCTTTGGCGTCTATCAAAATTTTCACACCTGCAAAAATAAAAATTACTGCTTTTAAAATATAAAAGACTAGACTTCAGTAAATTAACAATTTATTATGTAAGACTTTCTTTCCATCAACCATTCATTGATAAATCTTAATACAATATTTGAATATATAATAACAATTAGGCAGATGTTTAATAACATCTGAAAAATAAAATGTAATCCTTCATATAAATCAATTCAAATACTAAGTATTCTTAATCTTGTATAAACATTTGTGAGAAATAGATTTAATCAAAATGTGAACTTTTAAAACTTCTGAAGTAGAAGATCACCCGCCAAGAAATATTTTCTACATTTGCTGAAAGACCTGTTTTCTTTTACTAGTATATATTTTCTTACATTTTGAGTTCAAGTTATATGCATTAGGTACTGCCTAAAATGCAAGCTCAGCAGTTGTGTGCATTTCCATGCTAAGTTGCCTATTGAGTCAAGATATTAGAAGCAAAATACTTTTTCTGAAGCACCAAAAGGAGGTAAAAAAAACCATTAATTTAATGTTCTTAATGCTCAGTTAACCTGAAAAGTCAAGACAATGGAAAAAAAATATGGTGGCACATTTGAGAGCATTATGTGTTCAATAATTTTATCTACTTTTTTTCTTTCAAATGTTGCTGCATGTGCTCAAATTGTTCCTTATTAATGTTTGAACGTTTTTAGTCAACATCCAAGTTCAAGGCCTATTTCATATATCTTTATACTCTTTTATAAATTTATTGATAAAGAATATAACAAGTGAAACTGCGAGCTACTGCTCACTGACAATACCCCCGCCGCAAGTGGATAATTTTAATAGTGTAAAAATACGTAAGTGTCCGGTAAACAGGAAGTTGTTGAGTGATGAATCTGAAAACGCATCACACGGTATAGCTGACTTATATAAACCCTGAAACCAAATTTCAGAAATCCTTAAAATGTAGTTCCTGAGAAAAATGTGACAAAAATTTTCAACTTGGATGTCATGTGTAAAATGATACAAGTGTTCGGTTAACAGGAAGTTGTTGAGTGATGAATCTGAAAACGCATCACACAGTATAGCGGACTTAAATAAACCCTGAAACTAAATTTCAGAAATCCTTGTATTGTAGTTCATGAGAAAAATGTGACGAAAAATATTCATGGGACGGACTGACAGAGGTAAAACAGTATACCCCACTTTTTTAAAGCTGGGGTATAATTATATTGTTGTTGTTATTAGCATGTCTTGTATTTTGGGGGAATTTTATATCGATTCTCTTCATAAGCAAACATATTGTTTGAAACAACACAAAAGTAAATTATTTCATTTTTAATATACAGGGCGTATTATAGTATACAATATTACTCAGTACAATGACTCAAATTTCCTTTAAACTATTCTTATGAAATTTTTACACAACATAAGGATTGACAGACAAAAACTCCCTTTTGATTAGATTCTTGTTTTGTTGTTCCAGAGTTGTGGAACTTTAACTCTCATATTTAAGGCAATTTTTTCAAAAATCACAAACTGACTGTAGTTTGCTTACATCAATTTACTTAAAAATGTACACCATTGTTGCAATTGATAAAAGATAGCTCCTTTTTGATATTTGAAATTTCTTTATTTGTCACTCCAGAGTTACAGGATGTCAGATTTAAGGCAATTTTTCACATATCAGGTACATGTTTACTAGGTTTACTAAAAACTTTACTCTGTTCTTGTGTTAAATAATTGCCAAAGAGTGGAGTAATAAGAAACTGATCTTCAGAGTATGATTCCAATTTGGAATAAATATAAAGAGGTTTCCAGGGTCCTTCCCATATTTGGGAAAGTTGCCACTCATGATTTTGATACACATTAAACCTTGTAGAGGAACCCCTCTTAAAAAGATCAAGATCATGTGACACCTGTCAGCTGGCCACTTGAATTGTCTTACACCATTAGTTTTCATTTTAAATGATTTGTTGATTACACTTTATTTTTTGAATTCTGATTTTAAATTGTGTTTTAGTCAAAGTCTTATTCCAGTACACTTGGCCATATTTTGTGTTACAAATTTTTTTTTACACAAGTACAGTCACTTCTATGCTCTTCCTCTTATTTAACTGTAGGGGAAATTTATGAATTACCATTGTTTAAAGTAATGCTTACCATCTTGCTGAACTTCTTCATCAAACTTTCCCTTTTCTTTAGCATATTCTAATGTATATGATAAACCATTGCATCCTCTTGTTTTCACACCTATCTTCAATCCAATCTGAAACATGTAAATGATTTAAAGAGGTCTCTTAATACATGAATTCCAATCACTTATCTTTTCCAATGACATTGTCACATTAGAACTGTAAAAGAAAGACTAGCAACATCATGAAAAAGATTACCAAATACAAACAATGTACTTTGATAACAAACTAATAGTGTTTGAACTCAATAACACTTTTGATTCATATGATGTACAAATTTATTCTGACAGTTGTCTAAAAACATTCAAAATGGAAAATTGAAATAAAAAGTTTTTGAATATTGCAGCCTAATTATCAAAAGCCAAATAATCAGGCTGGACGATTACTATAAACAATAATTTATATTCAGTCACAAAAAAATCAAATAGGTAGCTGAATGTTTACTATAACAAATGTAATATTTAGTGGCCATAACTTGGCCATAAGGGAGATAACTGAAGATACTACAAGAATTTCTTTCTTGTAACACTTTTTATATCTGTGTGATGCTGTGTACTGTGGATTCATTATTATTTGTGGGATTCCAATTTTTGTGGACTTCGTGGATAAAGGTGAACCACAAATTTAAATCCTCAACGAAGTACACATTTTCTATAGGCTTCTTTGTAGACTTTTGCTAAACCACAAAATTAAATATCCACGAAAAAACAATTTTTACTCAATCCACGAAAATTGGTACCCACGAAAATAAATGAATCCACAGTATGTATAATCATTTATCATAAACCAGTTTCAAGTATTTGAGTGTGTCCATTCAGAGAACTAAGAGTGTGTGTGTGTGTCCATTCAGAGAAATATGTATGTGTATGTGTATCCATTCAGAGAACTACTGACAATTCATAAGAGAGGTAATCGTTGTTAACTGTTAAGATATTTACCATATCAGGTCGATTTTCAAGTAAACCTTTAACTTTCTGTACAGCTGCTGAAGTCTGAAGTGAAAACAAATAAGGATTGATTGTACATATAGGTTTTATAAGTGATAACATAATTAATTTGCAACATGAATGTTAAAATCTGTATAAAAGGAGATACATGTATTGGGTATATTTCAATTGAGACTGCAAGGTCTACATATTATCAAAATGCATAAGGTATTTTTTAGAAAATTGTGGTTTGGTTTTTAAATCTAGATATATGTAAATATTTCACCATGGCAAGTAAGATGTGGACAAAATTTGACATGTCCGATTGTTAGGTATTTTTCAGGAGCTCTACTAATTATGGAAACAGGTTTGGTGAAATCCTCATAAATGGGTAGTACACATTTACAATTGTATAACAACATCAGCCTTACAACTATTCAAGATGCATGTATAGGTTTATCTGTACTCATAAATTTTGAGGTATAAACAGTAAAACACAGCCAGTTTAGCCAAAAGGTCTACAGGAACATTAAGATCAAATTTCATTTTTAAAATTTGTTTTAGGGAAATGCCTGCTAGCATAAGCACTGAATTTTTAGGCACTGGCTATGATTACGTTGAAATGTAACAATAACAAATAAATTGCTTTGCCAAGCGCAGCTGGATACGAACACAGAGGTCCAACCCTGAACAGTTGGGACAAAAATGGACACAATATTCACGCTTGATACAGGTCAGAATTTGGATTGTAATTCAATATTTGACACATAATAGGTTTCTGACACAGAAAGAATGTGCTGTTGCGAATTGACCTCCCCCCTCCAAAAAAATTTTTTTTTTTACCACCCTTCTTTTTCAAAGTTTTTTTTTTTACCCCCCCCCCCCCCCCCCCCCCCCTTTTCCCACCTTTTTTTCAAAAAAAAAAATATTTCAAGAAATTTTCTTTTTGATTTCAGAAATCTTGAGAAAAAATTGTCGGAATGTCCCCACCCCCCCCACCCCCACCCAATTTTTTTTTAACCTCCCCCCCCCCCCCCTTTTCCAAAAAAATACTCTTTCCCTCAAGATATGGTCATAATCTCAATTCAAATTTCCAATGGAGTTTGCAACCATAATAACCCATTTAAATACATCATAAAAGTCTTAAAATAGAAAATGACATACATAATCATGGCTAAAATTAATCTACCTTAATCAGCATTTTTTAAATTATTAAAATAGTAACTTCCAAAAATAAATTGACAGCTAATCACCTCAAGACAATACAATATTTCTTTATACATAATTTAAAAGCAGTGTAAGGGAGGTAATTCAAACACAACATTGTACTTAAGTAATTGTCCATTAACCAGGACACCTTTGTTTTTTCTCACTTTTTTGCCCCTAATTCCTAAACGGTTTGAGCCATAACACCCCAAAGCCAATCCTAACCATCCCTTTGTGGTATGGAAACATATAATTTCAGAGAGATCCATACACCGTTCCACAAGTTATTGTCTGGAAACTAGAAAAATGCTTATTTTGGCCCCTTTTTGGCCCCTAATTCCTAAACTGTTGTGACCATAACCCCCAAAATCAATCCAAACCTTCCTTTTTGTGTTATAAACCGTGTGTTTAAATTTCATAGATTTCTATTAACTAATACTAAAGTTATTGTCCGGAAACCAAATGTCTTCAGAAGACGACGACGTGATACCAATATACGACCGCATAATTGGTCGTATAAAAAGTTATTGTAAAGTTGGACACTAATTGCCGGAATGCTTTTAATTGACTTGTTTTGTTACTGAATTCTCCGATATGCTTAATAATAATTATTATTATTATTCAACAAATAATGTTTAAATAGATTTTAAAAGTAATAATTGTTTTAACATTCTTCAAGATAATACTACAGTTCAATAGTGGCAAAGGCAAAGAATATAGTTCAATGGTCTGATGTTTAGAAGAAGAGTATTCACTTCTATGTATTTAACTGCAAACTTACCCATATAAATGTCATTTTACTTTTGAACAATGGATGAAGTTATTCCAATTTGAATAAAAAAAAAGAAAAAAAAAGATTCAAATTTTATACAGCTATATAAACGAAATTCGCGAAAAAATTGATACATCAAAAGCAAAGTTTTAACAGCATGAACTAAAATATTGTGAACTTGTGTATGCAAGCATCCATGGACGACATAATTTTGTTTCAAAATCAGATGGAATACATCCAAACCAAAGGTAGGTTTTTTCTTCCTATATGAATATACTCAATACACCATTTTCACAAAAGCGACTTATCAACCCTGACCTCGAAATCAAATGTGCCTTTTAGTTTAAATCCAGTGAAAATTAACAATATCATACGTGACAGGGGCTATCCGATTGACCTTAATATTTGGCAACACAATTGTAAATCAACCGATAATACACACCACTCTCTCTTGGTGTGTGCCATAGGCAGGTAAACAGGTGATACCAGTACACAGTATTTTTGTCACGGCGAACATAGCTATTTGAGAAGTTGTCACTGACATCATAGATAAAATTGCTATTATATCTTTGGTAGTTGCTGACATTAAACAATTGTATATTAACAAATGAAGCTGTACAATGATTGGGACGAACAAACTTATATATTGGTCCCAGATTATTTAATAATCATTTATTATATATATATTCAAAATAAATAGTATGACAGTTTATACAGAATACGAATATTCAAAATCTTATTGAGAGAAAAAAATCAGAATAACATAAATTTAAAATAAAAAGATGTAGTATGATTGCAATCAAGACAACTATCCACCAGAGACCAAATGACATAAATGAAAGCAACCATTGGTCACCATACGGCCCTCAACAATAAGCAAAAAATCCATACCGAATAGTAAATAGTAAGCTATAAAAGGTCCAGACACAAAACAATTCATAAGAGAAAATAAGTCTTCTTGTTGACGTAAAGAGTTTATAACAGTTGTAAAATTGTTTTAAACAAAAGTATAAATCTTGCAGCTGCTATCTTTTGCTTAGTACAGTGCTGTATGTCAGTTTGATTATTTGTGAAAAGAGATAAATAGTTTGTTAAAAAGAAAACAATCTATACATCAGAACTGTTCCAGTATCAATTCACAGTTTTCTCAATTTTTTTTTACAGGAACTCCGTATTGAAATCTTCTTGCAACATATAAAGGGTTACGGTCAAAAGTTAGTTAGGTTTATTACCATAGACTCAAACTTTTTATCTTCTTTTAAACGAAAGCCGGTTACTGTTGTGGTGACTTTTGAGTGAAATTTTATGGGTTCGAGGACCAGACATCGGCAGTTAAGAATGTAGCTACTAAATAATTGAAATTTCCACTTAAGGTAGTATGGAAGTATAAACAAAAATTATAGAATTTTTTCCTTAAAAACTTTGCCATGATGTCAATGTCAATGAGTACATTGTGATACATGTGTATGTTCAAAAATATAAAAAAGAACTATGATAGGTCACCAAGCTTGTTTTCAAGCTACCGGCTGTGAAAATATGAAACATTTTATATTGATTATGCAGAGAAAAGGCACCATTATATGAAAGTAAACTAAATGATAGAATTTTGAAATAAAATGTGAGAAGATAGCTCTTATGAAATGCTTTCAGAATACCAAAAGAAATAAAATGCTCCGCTGGGCGCAGCTTGATACGACCGCAGAGGTCGAACCCTGAACAGTTGGGGCAAGTATGGACACAACATTCAAGCTTGATACAGCACTGAATTTGGATTGTGATTAAATATTTGACACTGCATAGGTTTCTGACACAGAATGAATGTGGTCTAAGAACTTAAAAAATTTTAATTTACCTATTCAAACCATATCATTATTATTTGCTTTTATATATAAATCAGAAATAACCAATTTAAAATGGAAAATTTTAAAGAAAAAAAAAGGAACCCCCCCCCCCCCAAATTTTTTGAACCCCCTTATGATTCATCACCCCCAAACTCAATCCCAACCTTCCCTTTGTGGTATGGTACCTTGCAGTACAATTTCATAGAGATCCATACACTTGAACACAGGTTATTGTCTGGAAACTAGAAAAATGCTTGTTTTTTTGCCCCTTTTTGGCCCCATATTCCTAAACATTTAGGGCAATTACCCCCAAACTCAAACCCAGCTTTCCCTTTGTGATATGGAACCTTGTAGTATAATTTCATAAAGATCCATTCACTTACACACAAGTTATTGTCCTGAAACTAGAAAAATGCTTGTTTTTTGCCCCTTTTTGGCCCCTAATTCCTAAAATTTTGAGGCAATTACCCCCAAAATCAATCCCAGCCTTCCCTTTGTGGCATGGTACCTTGCAATATAATTTCAGAGAGATCCATACACTTGAACACAAGTTATTGTCTGGAAACTAGAAAAATGCTTATTTTTGGCCCCTTTTTGGCCCCTTATTCTTAAACGTTTTGGGCAATTACCCCAAACTTAATTCCAGCTTTCCCTTTGTGATATGGAACCTTGTAGTACAATTTCAGAAAGATCCATAGACTTACACACAAGTTATTGTCATGAAACTAGAAAAATGCTTGTTTTTTGCCCCTTTTTTGGCCCTTAATTCCTAAAATTTCAAGGCAATTACCCCCAAAATCAATCCCAGCCTTCCCTTTGTGGTATGGTACCTTGCAGTACAATTTCAGAGAGATCCGTACACTTGAACACAAGTAATTGTCTGGAAACTAGAAAAATGCTATTTTTGGCCCCTATTTGGCCTCTTGTTCCTAAACGTTTTGGGCAATTACCCCCAAACTCAATTCCAGCTTTCCCTTTGAGATATGGAACCTTGTAGTTCAATTTCAGAAAGATACATACACTTACAAACAAGTTATTATCATGATACTAGAAAAATGCTTGTTTTTTGCCCCTTTTTTGGCCCCTAATACCTAAAATTTTGAGGCAATTACCCCCAAAATCAATCTCAACATTCCCTTTGTGATATGGAACCTTGTGGTACAATGTCAGAGAGATCCATACACTAACACACAAGTTATGTCTGGAAGTTACAAAAATGCTTTTTTTTGGCCCCTTTTTGGCCCCTAATTCCTTAACTGTTGGTACCATAACCCCCAAAATCAATCCCAACCTTCCTTTTGTGGTATTGAACCTGATGGTAAAATTTCATAGAGATCCATTCACTTAAACTAAAGTTAGAGTGCGAAAACCACTGTGTCTTCGGACGACGACGACGACGCTAACGTCATACCAATATACGACCACAAAATTTTTTTGCGGTCGTATAAAAATTGGGTAACCGTGCGTTTTATCCTACTAAAACATACATGGCATATAACATAACATAAAATAGAAAACTTTCTTGTAAATTTTAATTCATTTGTACATTTGTTTCAAATATTTCTGCTTTGGTGATATTTTTTAGACGGCCATGAGAATGAAGAGAGATAATGAGGCAATTTTAAAATACGTATCAGAAATACAGGTTTATCTTCAATTTCCAAACATCAGACTTTTAAACAATGCATTCAATACCATTTTAATTTCTAGGCTGTGTTCATGATCGACTTTGTCTAAGCAGTGGTTCAGTGCCTGTGTAATTTTCTACATATTTTCAAATTCTGCAAATTCTATATAATGCATATATCTTACGACTTAGCATAATTTGTGTTGTTTTTTTTATAAAAAAGGATACATTCATCATGTTCATGTATAATTACATTTCAAATAAATTAAAAGAAAAAAAACTCATTATTTAGAAAGAGACAGTTTTCGTGGTATCGTCAAGGCTTTGTTTAGGAGGACGTCTTACTAGTAAAATCCTTGTTATTGCAAAAATTATTTATTTACTTATTTTTATTAATGAACGAATTTACAACAAGATATCATTAAACGTAATTGGATATCCTGTATTTAACACGCTTTACCATAAAATAAGATCAAATCGCTGAATGACCCCCCTCCTAAATTATTTAAATCTATCCTGTTGCATTAACCGTAATATCTCAGTGTAAATTAGGTACATGTATCTTATACAGAAACAGAGTTAAAATTTTTAACATCTGTATTAGGGGACAACCATTTGATTTTCCGGGCAGGGGGAGAAAATAATTATCCTGACCTAATAAGAGCTGAAAATAATAATTTTGCCCAAGGAAGGATGGAAAAGAATAATCTGCAATACAAAATGCAGGAAATAATTGTGTACAAAAATTAAATAAATAGTCGTGCAGCCCAAATAAAAAAGTATGCGTAGCAACTGGGACATTTAAATATTGACAGTATACTATTCCCAGGTAGCAACAGATGAAGATGAATATTAAATCCGAATAAAAAACAAATCTGGTTTTTCTGTCAGAATATCAAATGGTCGTCCCCTTTTCAGTAACTGTATGTAGAAAAGGGTATGTTTTTATCAATTGTCACCTGATGAGATTATATAAGGTAAAACTAGGATTCCACATGACTAAGGTGTTAATTTACTTCTTAATTTATGACCTAATATATGATATGAAGTGACCCCCGCATATTTATCTAATTTATTCTTCCCACTTCATGAACGACCTCAGCGTAAATCCAATTATTTCTACGTGACAATTAAGGGTACAAAGTCAGGCGGCATATCAGATCGTCTATTACTGCAACCAACAACACAACAGTAATCCGTGTTAAAATCTTTTTAATAATGTGTCATTGTTAATAAAGTTGTCTCTTCAATATATAGTTTGATTCAAATGCTCATCGTGCTGCATGCACATGTAAACGCAAACACTTAATCAGGTGATTGTTTTCCAAGTCTGCATGGTCACTGTTTATTAACCTTAAGCCCCCAGTCAATGAATTCTCTGGAAATATCGCGTGATTTCATAGTTTGGCTAATTAGGTTAGACTTGCTCAGTTACATGTGAAACTGGTGTATTGGTCATAAAATTAATACAAATGGTATAACTTCAAAAAGGGAAATTGCAGAGTAGAACTGTTTAGTGTGCAAAACCAACTTGCATATTGCAACATCACTCGGTTGTGATGGCTACTAAAAATGCATTGGACTAAAACATGCAACCAAAAGCACATATTAGATGTGCAGAAGCTGTCATTGTAAATAAAATATATAATCTGTATGCAATATTGATTATTGTAAAATTGAATTGTTTACGATTAAAAATTTTCAAGTTGTATTTTTATATATTACATTCATATGGGACATACTATACTATTCCGGAAAATTAGTGTCCAAAGTAAAACGTTTTTGTGATTGTTAGTTTTCAATGTAATCCAGTGCCCAATTTTTATATTTGAAAGGGTTTAGAAGGAAAGGCTGTGGTATGGAGTTTCTATAAAATTCCTAAATGTTTATCTTTATGTCATTTGATCATTTCAAGCAGAATAACAGTTCAGGTATACTAAATAGCTACTTGTTCGGCGTTGGTTCTTTTTCACAGGTAAGAACTGTCGCATAGTACTATATTACATTCTGAACCTGATGGCAAACGTGTGTTGCGTAAATTGTTTTCGTCTGAATGACCTTCATAGTCATACGCAGTACTGCCAGTAGTGATTAATAACAAAAAGCTGACGATTATCCTATAGTTTTTCAAATATTTTAACACAATATTAAAGTCTGAGTCAATTACCATGACAATCGGTGCTCTGGTTGGCAACATTCGCGTTCTAGTCACTGCTCGGACCGTGGCACCCACGGCTCGAGAAGCCATTTTCTTTGTTTACGCCGGCTGGTTTTTCTTTGATACAATAATTTCCGAATTCCCTTACGTCTATCGTATTTTAAGGTACCAGTCGTATTTTTGAGATATAACTGAAGTACCATAAAAGATTCTGATAAATAAAGACTATAACGGTCGTCAGCATACTGATTTCTTTTTATTTATGAGTCATTAAATATTGGACATTTTATAAGGGGAGAGGGGCAATAAAGAAGCTATTATCATGCGTTCAGTATTGCAAATTCGATACTATTTTTTTCTTGTTGGTCCTGGGTTTTTTATATTTATTGTCAAATCGAAGATTGGCGAATCAAATTTGTTGGGTTTATCAATATCAGAAGTCCATTACTAGACGAAGTGTGCAACCCGCTATATAGTAAGGCGATCACGTTGTCCCCGTACTTCCAATTGCGATTGAAACGGGATTTGAGCGAGATTGCTATTAATAGTAACAAAAATCAATGGCCACATAATTTTTTGCGATGCATTCTGGGTAGAGATAATTTATGCAAAACACCCTATAACTTAATTAGCACACATTTGAAAATAATGTTTGACTATCGACGTGTTAATGAATAGCAGATCCTAGCATATTATATCAGTGTCATGAGTCGTTATGATGGTTTTGATATTAAATGATAAATATGTTTGTATAATTTATCAATTTAAAAACTACAGTTATAACCGTAAAAAAATTGTCAGACGAAACTAAAAAACTCACTTCTTAATACAATAAACGTTTGGTTTTTAGAGTTAATTGTGAAAAAAATGCCATTTAAAAAAGTTGGCAAGGAAAAATTAGGTCGGAGAATTCAGTATCCATATATAGTACAAGTAACACTGGATTAGGAATGAGTTTAATAGGAATAAACATTCTGTTATATTTATTTTAAGAATATATGTTACGAATTACAAATTTCAAGAAATAAGTTTTTTTAAAAGTTACACGGGAATTCTGCAGATATAACCATTTTTAGCAAAATTAACAAATTGTACCCTCAATTTTGAAAAAAAGAGGGGAAATTTTATTGTATACCCTTTCTTCAATTTCGAATATCTTCGATCCTGCGTAACTGAGATCTTGACGGTAATACTACCTCGGATGATGGTGTGGACGAACAAAGGTTATCTTTTCAGTCAGATATTGTTACATTTATCCGTTAAAATACACTGATAATGGGGACATCGTGATCGACTTCCAAAATATAGTACAGCTTGCACACTTCGTCTAGTAATGGACTTCTGTCAATATCTATCTTTATACTCTTCTTCTTTTGGATATCCACTCTATTTGCAGGGTCACCGCATCAAAATTTATGCATTTATTTTAAAATAATTTACCTTGTTAATATAGTTATAAATTTTAAAAAATAAAAATAAAGGTAAAAAGGTAAAAGGAGAGAGAACATGTGTACACAACCGTCTGACACAAAATTATAAAACTTATGATATTTCAAAATGGATAAAACTCACTGATAAGACCATGGTTAGATTATCTGCAGTTAAAATAAATCCACTTATTATAATAAGTTCCTTGTCCAGCTGTAATATAATTAAAGGATTTTCTATAAAATGTCTGCTTTATTATTAGGTTAACCAAGCTTAGTGTTAGGTGAAAGCAGATAGGTAGGGGTTCATTTGGGGAGCAGTTTATCGAAATGACAATTAAAACCACAGACACTATAATCTAGGACTAATACATAACACTTCTAATCAGTATTCAACAATAACTATTTAATGTCCCTGAGCAACTTACTGACTCCTGATACTACTAACAGTAGTGCATACTTGTAGTTGTTCAATCAGTGCTATATTGATCTGTAGTCTCACTCATCAGGGATTCCAATTAAGGAATTTTATATGTAAAAATAAAATAATTTGCTGATTCACTTAGAGAGTGAGAAAAAATTAAGAAATTTTAACTTTTTAAAATTACCTGGTTTAACTCCCCAACATGCAATAAAATGAAATTGTAACATCACTTTTTCCTTTGATCTTCGAGTGGGCTAACTTCTGTTATTTTTAGAGGCATACCCAAGAAGGAAGGACACTAGTGGCCGATTACCCTTATCGGCGACACCCGGGGTGCAATGTTTTTAATGATGTTCGATTAATATAGAAAGTAATGGGAAAATAAATGGGTACCCTTCATTAATTCTTCATATTATTTTTATTAATCATCTGAATTCTTATTAACACATACGACCGAATTCTACATAGATTTACCTTTCTGGTGGTATAAAAAAATCAGTTTATCTTATCTCATTGTTAGGTCTCCGATTTTTTTAAATTTCATTATCTAAATTCCCTTACTCACATCAGTAAATAACGATGAATTACCTCAAAAGAAACGAGACAGCAGTTATAACTAAAAAAATTGAAGCACACTTAATATGCGAAGGAAATACTATTAACACATACTGTTGAATACCCCTGCCAAAAAGCTATATTTTGATGTCAGAAAAGTCAGTTTAAATTAAGAAATTCTTAGGTCTCCGGCGTTTTGAAAAGTTGTCTTTGAAAAAAAAAAACCAACACAAATGTAATATACGAAAACAACGTACATTAGCGAGATCATACTGTTATACATGTAAAATAAATTCCAGTTGTTCTTAAATAAATGAAATAATACATAATAAGTTCAAATTCAAAGTGTTCACTGCGGCTATTTTTTATTGTTCAAATAGAAACGATAAATATTGAATACAAAATAAAATTATATTTAATTATATTAAATTGTATTTGTCGGGATAACTCATCTGTTCAAAGGACATAATGGAGTTTTACTATAAGGGTTCTTGTTCGTGATAGTTCATAGTTCGTATAATTTCATATAATAGAGACTATAAATTTCATATAATAGAGACTATAAATTTCATATAATAGAGACTATAAATTTCATATAATAGAGACTATAAAGATATTTTTTATTCATATTTGGCGAAACGTATTTAATGATAAATGATAAAGTATACATTTACATTTAAATAATAATAAACGATTCGCTGTTCAATTTTTTTTTCACCCGTACAACAGTTTTCCATCATTTGTATTTCGATAGTATTTAAAGAAAATGAAAAGGTGGTATATTAAAAAATTGATATATTGTCAAATGAATTTTATTATCAGCAGGCACCCTGTCGCTTGATTGTCTTTCCTATCTCCAATTACGATGTCTTATATATGCTCGACAGGATGCCACTGTTTGTTTTATTAATTTGAATCTGAAACAATACAACTTGTGTTAATTGGTGACATATGTACATGTAATGAATGTATGCACGGTTTATGGGAGCATGGAAGTAATATTTAAAAGGAATAACAACGACTAATTAGCATGTATTAACAGCCTGCAGAGCTCTGTACTAAAGTCATATGATTTTATCCAATTATAGTCTCAGCGGCAATACCCCTTTGGTTACTATCTGTGATACCGCGGTTGTAAAATGGCATCTGGAATTTCTTATCAGTCACGTGATTTTATCGAGTCCGGTAATTATAAAGCACCTGTGTGAAATCCGAGGTTTATTAATAAGAAGGTGGCGCTGTATCATATAAAACCTCTACCTTCAGAAAGAAGTCGTATGATGTAAAAAACTTGAAAAACGGACGAGAATTGTTCAACCTACAACAGTTTAGCATGGAAAATTGTATTTAATTTAGCATATTTTTGCTCTTTACCGTTTGTTTTAAACTGTTCTAAAAGTATTTTCCGGTTAAAAGCGGATCCCGAGTAAAACAGTTAAATACCGATGAATCGATCAGGTTTCACATGATGTTGAACAAAATAATGTAGACAGATGTAGACATAGAATATTTTACTGTTGAAATGTGCCAAGTTTATCGAGATTTATAAAAATATTTACTTTCAAGTAATTGATTACGTTATTAAAACTGGACAATTAAAATCGGGATCATAAGTTCGTAAACATGTTAAATTTATATCTATTTTAAAAAAGTGTTTACAATTGAATACTAATATTAATGTAGCACGTTACAGCAAAAAGAAAATCAACCATACAAAACGAGCTTGGCGCTATCTGTCTAACCGCAAATTTATTTTATATGAATTTGTTTATGTACAAATTAAAGAATAGAAACGTTTAAAATTGTGAATATTTGATTTGCCTGGTATACACGGAAGACTTGGATTATTCGTATTTAATAAAAGGGGGTCGACACATATTTTTTTGTACAATCATCTTCTTAACTTTCAGAAATGGCTTCTTAATTAACTGGTTTTAAGTATTAAAATTGAAAATGATCCACCCTTTTTTCTTAAATTCAATATGTGATAACTGTCGGCCTAAACTATTAAGATCGAAAAAGACATAAATAGGAAAAATAGACTAAAATCAACATTGAATAACTGACTCTATTCGGTAGCGTACAGCAGCGGAATGTAACGAGTGAACTATTCGGGTTACTTCGTACGTACATACGACAACAACTGGTCTATTCGTAATTTTCCGGGAACACGAAAATGACCGAAAAGTGTCAGTGATTTGATCTATCACATGCCGAGAGTCAATTACCATGCCATATATTAAACCAATTAACGAGTTATCGAAAGATGGGCGGTAACGCAGATGAAACCTTTGAAGTGACGACGTTGTTATTCCTTTCAATATTACTTCCATGATGGGAGTATCATCCTGTAATGACATTACATCAATGTGGTGGAACTATTAAAACAAATTTGAGAACTCGAAATCTAATGCAAAAAATCTTTCAAATCACTCTTTTTTAGGGAATCGCGTTCCTCGCTCTTAAGTTTGACCATGGAAGTACATTCATTTGATTAGTGTTATCTATGTATAGATAGTTTAATTTGCTGCTTTTATTTTTTTATTTCTTCTTTTAATTTGTCATTTTCTATATATATGTTATTTTTACGTAATGGTGCAATACAAAACACATGTAATTAAGTTGACTCTCGGTCATTTTAGAAATACACTGTTTAAAATGTTCTTGTGTGAAAAATGTCACACATTGAATGTTGGTTTCTGTTATAATGATGAATGTGTTGTCATTGTAAATGAATATTAAA